TGTGACACCTATATTTGTTTTTCTTTTTTTTTTTTGTGACACCTATGTTTGAAACTGACCATAATTGTGAGATATTGGTAGAGCAGAAGCTAGTATCTCTTTAACCACTGAGGAAAATGAAGAAGTCAATGATTTATTTAAAATTAAATGTTCTGCTTTCATTAAAGACATTTATGCCCAGAAGTAAAGTATGTATAAGACTTGCCACATATTTTATATGTCATTTCAATTAATGATAGTCAATTCCTTCCTGGTCAAACACCTGTAATCAAAATATAAGAGTTTTGTTGATAATGTGTCAATAAAATATAATTTTAAATTCATAGGCTTTTCTTTTGTCTTCTATTGCATGCTTCAGTGAAATGGAAAAATTATCGGTGTTAGCTTGCAGTATGTGTGTATGCATACGCACACATATACATATAAGTACATTAATATGTCTAAAAGATCTGAGTGCTACCTAACTCTTGAGCAGAGAAGAAATGGTGCCACTAAGATGGACCTAACTGTAAATAGGTAAGAATGCTCATTTCTTTTTTTTTTTTTTTTAAGATTTTATTTATTTGACAGAGAGAGAGTGAGAGAGAGCATGAGCAGGGGAGAGTGGCAGGCAGTGGGAGAGGGAGAGGCAGGCTCCCCACTGAGCGGGGAGCCCGATGTGGGGCTCGATTCCAGGACCCCGGGATCATGACCTGAGCCGAAGGCAGATGTTTAACCCACTGAGCCACCAGGCGCCCCAAGAATGCTCATTTCTTAAATTAATTGCTTCCCTTTTAAGTAGCTTATAAAGCAGAATAAATCATGGATTGTATTTGAAAATAATAATTTGTAAATGTGGATAATGTCAATAATACCTGTTCCAGCTTCTTTCCTCAATAAATGATGGCACTTGGGAAAGCCGGTAGTAATAACGACAAGCCATGCCTAACAGTATCTATAAAATTCTTTTACATTCTTTAGTTTCTGACACTGTTACTCTTGATAGAGGCTAAAATAAAAGTAATATTAAATTATTAAATTATTCTGACACTGTTACTCTTGATAGAGGCTAAAATAAAAGTAATATTAAATTATTATATAAATATTAAATTATATTATACATATTTATAAATGGAGTAAATTTGCATAAAGTAGTGGTTGAACTTTATAATTTGAATATGTTCCTCCATAATTACCATGAAGGATACATAAGTTTAATTTATTCTTTAACCCACCTTCCTCTGAAATGCAAGCTTTGAGAGGTTTTAATTTCAATTTGAAGCATTATTATTTTTAAAAAGCCTCATTTGAATATTTTTTCATTTCAGCTAGTCTCTCACAAGGACTCTCATAGTTATCTTACAAGCCAAATTCAGAAATGTGGGTGGGAAGGAGGTAGCGTTTAGTGTATTTGTACATGATTTAATTATCATGCTGTAAGAACATCAGTGGTAATCAAGATGGCAGCCTTTGTTGGTACATGCAATTGTCAGGTTCTACTCTGTTCAGGATTTATTAAAGATTTGCATGAAGACTTAGAGGATAGGCTTATCAAATTTTAAGGTGACATAAAGCTGGGAGCCATTTCACTGGAAAAGAAAACTAATAGAATGATATTAGGGACTAAAATCCAGAAGATGAAATTTAACAATGACAGGAATCAGTTCCTTCTCTGCGACTCAAAAAGGCAACTAACTGTACAACAGCAGGGAGGAACGTCTGACTTGGCAGAAGTTTTCATTAAAATAAAAGAGAGGGAACATCAAATTGACCACATGTTGTTTAAGTCAAAAGTGTGATATCATTGTACACTTAAAAATTTGTCAAGAGGGTAGATTTCATGTCAAATATTCTTATCACAGACACACACAAACAACTCTGCCATATGAGGGATAATTCAGACATAATACCCTCAACCTAGCCTCACCCACCTAGCTCTATAATTTCCATCTCAAACCACCTACAGAGTGTAAGTTTTAGGGAATTAAAACTAAAAATCTGTTTATTATTACATTTCTCTATTTTGAGAATACAGTTGACTAAAATTGTATATATTTAAGGTATACAACTTGATGATCTGATATACATGGTGAACTATTCACCATGATCAAGCTAATTAACATAACCATCGCCTCATACATAATTACCTTTTTCTTTTTTTATGGTGAAAACACTTAAGATTTACCGTTTTAGCAAATTACAAGTATACAATACTATATTAATTATAGTCTCATTGTTGTACATTGCATCTCCAGAACTTATTTATCTTGTATAACTAAAACTTTGTATGCTTTGACCAACATCTCCCCCATCCTCCTCATCCCAGCCCCTGGTAACCACCATTCTACTCTGTTTCTGTGAATTTGACATTTTTAGATTTAGACATATAAATGAGAACATGCAGGATTTGTCTTTCTGTGTCTGGCTTATTTCACTGAGCATAATGTCCTCCATGTTCATCCATGTCCTCACAAACGGCAGGATTTCCTTCTTTTTTAAGACTGAATAATACTTCATTGTGTGCATTTGTGTGTGTGTGTTTGTGAATCACATTTTGTTTATTCATTCATCTGTCAATACACATTTCAGTTGTTAGCATATCATGAGAGTACAGATATTTCCTTGAAATGCTCATTTCATTTCCTTTGGATATGTACCCAGAAGTGAAATTGCTGGGTCATAAGGTAGTTCTATTTTTAATTTTTGGAGAAACCTCCATACTCTTTTCCACAGTGGCTGCACCAATTTACATTCCCACCAAGAGTGCATCAGGGTTCCCTTTTCCTCGCATCCCCACCAATACTTGTACCTCTTATCTTTCTGATAACAGTGATTCTAACAGGTATGAGGTGACATCTCATTATGGTTTTGATTTGTATTCCCTGATGATTAGTGATGTTTAGCACCTTTTTATGTACCTGTTGGCCATTTGTATGTCTTCTTTTGAGAAATGTCTACTCAGGTTTTTTGCCCATTTTTAAATTGGGTACCTAGGGGTTTGCTATTGAGTTTCATGAGTTCCTTATATATTCTGGATATTAACTAGGAGGTATAATTTATCACTCAGTTTGCAGGAAAGGAAAGTTATTAGAAGGAAAATGTCCTCTGGATGCAGAACGTAGACATATACTCAGAAATATGGTCCTAGATGCAATTAGACATTTTGGCTATCATTGGGAGAAAACAGAAGAAGAAGCCTGGAAATTAACTTCACAAGGTCATTTCCTCTGGTCTTCTGCCCCCAATGAGTTAATTGCTTAAGGCAGACTCAAAATCTAGATAAGTAATTTTCTATTTTTCTCCCTGACACTACTTAAACTTTGATCAAGTGGATTAACGAACTCCTGAATAGAGAGGGGCTGGAGAGCCAAATGGGAAACTACAGTTGTATAGACAGGTATTGGGAGCAGAACTCAGGGCTGCTTTATAAATAATTTTAAAATTTCAGCATAGTTCCACTTATTTGCAATGTGTCCTTTCCAAGTTGCTTAAAAACCTGAGTTTCTCTATGAGAATGATAGTATTACATATCTCATAGTGCTATTGTGAGAAATAAATAAATGAAATAATAATGTGAAACATTTAGCACATTATAGGTGGCTCATAAATCTTAGACATTATTCACAAAACTTTTCCTTTTATTTTCTTAACCATCAAAAGTTATTAAGCCCTTTTGTGTTCACTAAACTAGCCATTTGTAGTAAAAAGTAAACATAGAATTTTTAATTTTTAATTTTGATTTTTGTCCAAATCAAATCTTAATTGTACTACTAAAAAAAATAAAAACAAAGAAACAAAGCTGCTCTAGTAGAATGAGTTAGTTTAAAAAAATACACAGAAGCACATCAGCTCAATCTTAAGCTCCAATAGAAGTATATTGTCTATAGTACAAGGGCATACTTGCCACATTTTGCTCTGCCCTAACTAACACCACACATGTTCAGTCCATTCCCGATACCTCCACAAAGTCCATGAGTATTTTCTGGGAAAAACTATCAGCATGTTGGGAGTCAGAAATCCATATAAGAATGAGTTAAGAGACATGGGATTTTATTAACGTGATAAAAGGTAAACCTTGGTAAAATATACCACTGGCTCCCAAATACTTGAAAGATTCTGATATACTTGAGGCAAAAGATTTATTTGCCAGAGGACAAAACTGGGAATAATAAACAAAAATGACTAAAAAAGAGATTTGGGGTTAATATCCCAGGACAGTAAAAGAGAACGTGAGATTTAGAATCAGAAGCCCCATATTCAAGTTCTGGATCTACTTTTTATTAGCTCTTTGACTTAAGGCAAATCACCTAAACTCTGAGTCATATAATCCTCATCTATAAGGTAACAAAAGTTAATAACAATAATCATATGAGCAAGCACATAAAATGTTTCAAGACATTAAAATGATTTGAAAATAGCAATAACAATAAGCCATAAGAATGGGGTGACCCACTGCTGAAAGTGTTGAAGTGAAGCTTACCCATTATCACTGCAGGGGTTCCCTTTCCTGGGGGAAGCTAAGACTAACTATTGCAACTACCATTTACTCACTTACTACATATTTTATCTCAAAGGCAGTAAACTGTAATGAAAGAAGAATTACAAAGCATCACTGAAGTCAATAATTTAATTCAACTAAAGACTGCAGTTAATTACCACAATCTTTACAGAATTCATGAGCAGGCGGGAACTCCACAAAGATACTCATCAACTTAACTCTGTAAAGATCAGCTTAACTCAAAACCTCAAAATATGACTAATGTGCCCTAGATCAAATTACGGTTAATTCATTTCACCTAAACTGTATCTCTACATTTGTGCTGCCAATCTTGAAAATATAGAGAACTTTCTGGATTGTAAAAGCTCTGTCAAAATCTCAGATCTCAAATTTCAGCCTTTGGATAGTTAATATTCTCCTTATGCCCATCTGCTTGCTGTATTTTGGGTTTATTTTTATTAATGTTCAGAAATAAGTAAGCCTTGAGAGAGTAATGCCTGCCAGTTGTCCCAAGTTTACTTACCCTCTGACCTTCTTTTCCAGGTGGACCCTGTGGACCCCGTATCCCCAGGGAACTCTGTGGGAGGCGGAAAGAACACATGTTAATAGACTGTTTCAAGTACACCTGCCTCACAAAGAATGTTGTGAAAAGTAATACCTACTTTATTGATTAAACAAAACTTTTAAAGTGATTTGAGCTCTTCCAAAGTTAGACTCTAATATATTAATAATGGTAAATTGTCCTGTGACTGGTTTGTCTTTGGAGTTAACTCCAGAAAAGAAAAAAAAGTGATTCCAAACCAGGTATGAGGCCAGTGTTCACTTCCAGACTCCAGACTTCCTTTCTGACTCCCATATGGTCAGAACTATGTTTCACCAAACTACCAATAAGTAGTAACAATACTTGCAAGCAGGAAAAAAAAAGGATCTTTCTATATATAAACTCTATAAATATAGCCATATTTTTTGGTTGAGAGTAGCTCTTCTAAGTATCCACTAAGAAAACACAGGATTATGATGTTGGCTTCAATCTATGTCTTTTCATAACATTTTTTAATATCATAGACATTATTTAATACTTTCACAACAACATTATCAAAAAAATAAGCATTTTTTTCAGACTGACAAAAGGCCCAGAAAATTCCAGGTGCTGTTAATCTGTAAGTCAAGTCTCCTGATTGTCACAGTTACTTTTATATAGGAATTCTTACTCAAAATGATGGTATATTTTTAAAAAAAATTGTCAGTAGTTATTGCCTCTCTGAAAGTTTCTTCTTAGTTCTCTTGATGCTTCCTCCTTCCCTATTCAACATTTTAAACGTGGAGTTTAGGCTCATTTTCTTCTCAGTCCGCATTCTCTTGCCATGATCTAATATACTGTGGACTTTGAATATTCCAGGCCAGTGATTCTAAGATTTACAATGTAGGTATCCAATGAGATACTCACTTGAGATACTCACTCCTCTAGGGCATCTGAAACTTAGAACATCAAACGCTGAACTTAGGACCCTCTTCCCCCAAACTGGATTCTCTTCCAGCATTCTCCAACTCAGTAAATTCACACAACATCCTGTTAGTGCTCATGCCAGAAATCTAGAACTCATCCTCTGTACTTTCCTTTCTCAAACCTCTCTTTCACATCCAGTTACCAAGTTTGGTTGGTGCATCTCCAAAGTATATTTGGAACCATCTAGTTCTTTTCATTCCTATAGCTCCAATCATCACTTCTTGCTTGCTCATTGGCTTCCTACTTGAACCAGACACTAACCCCTCCCTTCTCCACATCATGCCAAACTGATCTTAAGAAAACCCAGCCTGATCACAATTCTCGACTTCAAGATGTATTACAAAGCTGTAATCATCAAGACAGTATGGTACTAGCACGAAAACAGACACATAAGTCAATGGAACAGAACAGAGAACCCAGAAATGGACCCTCAACTCTATGGTCAACTAATCTTTGACAAAGCAGGAAAGATTATCCAATGGAAAAAAGACAGTCTCTTCAACAAATGGTGTTGGGAAGATTGGACAGCCAAATGCAGAAGAATGAAACTGGACCACTTTCTTATACCAGACACAAAAATAAATTCAAAATGGATGAAAGACCTCAATGTGAGACAAGAATCCATCAAAATCCTATAGGAGAACACAGGCAGCAACCTCTTTGACCTTGGCTGCAGCAGCTTCCTACTAGACATATTTTCAGAGACAAGGGAAACAAAAGCAAAAATGAACTTCTGGGCCTTGATCAAGATAAAAAGCTTCTGCACAGCAAAGGAAACAATCAATAAAACTAAAAAGCAACCTACAGAATGGGAGAAGGTATTTGCAAATGACATATCAGATAAAAGGCTAGTATCCAGAATCTGTAAAGAACTTACCAAACTCAATACCCAAAAAACAAAAAATCCAGTCAAGAAATGTGACGAAGACATGAATGGACATTTCTCCAAAGACATACATGTGGCTAACGCACACAAAAGAAAATGTTAAAAGATCACTCATCATCAGGGACATACAAATCCAAACCACAATGAGATACCACCTCATGCCCATCAGAATGGCTAAAATTAACAACTCAGGAAACAATAGATGACAGTGAGGTGGTGGAGAAAGGGGAACCATCTTACACTATTGGTGGGAATGAGAACTAGTGCAGCCCCTCTGGACAACAGCAGGGAGGTTCCTCAAAAAGTTAAAAACAGAGCTCCCTATAATCCAGCAATTGCACTACTAGGTAGTTATCCAGAGAATATCTACACCCCAGTGTTTATAGCAGCAATGTCCACAATGGCCAAAATACGAAAAGAGCCCAGTTGTCCATCGACTGATGAATGGATAAATATGTGGTGTATATAATACACACACACACACATATACACAATGGAATATTACTCAGCCATCAAAAAGAATGAAATCTTGCCATTTGCAACAACGTGGATGGAACGAGAGTGTATTATGCTAAGCGAGATCAGTCCGAAAAAGACAAATACCATATGATTTCACTCATATGTGGAATCTAAGGAAAAAAAAACCCAAATAAACATAGGGGAAGGGAAGGGAAAATAAAATAAGATAAAAACAGAGAGGGAGGAAAACTGTAAGACAGTCTTAACTATAAAGAACAAAGTGAAGTTTGCTGGAGGAGAGGTAGGTGGGGGATGGGGTAACTGGGTGATGGGCATTAAGGAGGGCACACGATGTAATGAGCACTGGGTGTTATATGCAACTGATGAATCACTAATTCTACCCCTGAAACTAATAATACATTATATGTATTGATATAATATATTATATGTTAACTAACTTGAATTTAAATAGAAGAAAAAAAAAAAAGAAAAGAAAATCCAGCCTGACCTTCCCTGACTTTCCACAGGAAGGGATGAATATCTTGGTTCATCAGTCGTAAAATGCTTGTATTTGACCTTTAAAGTATTTGTCATAAGTTCATTTAAATGATTGTAGAGGTAATGATTCATCAAGCTCTAAGGACAACAGGTAGAAACTGTCTTATTCACACAATGGATCTATTAACATCTGAGTGAAAAAATTCATACTGGAAAATCAATTCACTTTAGTAAGTTTTTGGATAAAGCCAATAATTTTCAGAGTTTTACAAATATTTGTGATTAACCTATCATATATTAAATGCTTAACTGGTTTGGAATAAATGAGAAAAATAGTAATAAAAATTCAAACAAATCTGAATTTACCTCCATTCCAGAAGAAACATTCCTTTGTTACCTAATTTTAAAAAACTTAGGATACACTTGTACATTCTGGACTTTTTCTTTAAAAGTTGTGGTTACCTTTAAACTAAAATATCAGATGTGTTTGTGATGACCTATAATTATTATGTATATATTCATTTTTTGTTTTTTTATAGAAGAAATTGCTTCAATAAATGTGATAATGTGCATAATTTCACCATCTAATTGAATAGAAAAGTTATAAACATTTAAATTTTCATTCAGATAACTTACATATGATCAAAGTTGTCAGTGTTTAATAAAAATTACTGTAACTCATTTTCAAAAAGCATTAATACAAAAAATTCTGCATGTATCACAAATCCTCAGTGTTTCCTCAAGTCTTTCTGATTCCTTCCCTACAAAACCCTAGTAAAATATATGTATTTATTACTGTCATTTCTTTTATCTATTCTTGAAATGATTATTTATTTATTTATTTTTTAAAATTTTATTTTAGTATGTTAATCACCATACATTACCTCATTAGTTTTTGATGTAGTGTTCCATGATTCATTGTTTGCATATAACACCCAGTGCTCCATTCAGTACATGCCCTCTTTAATACCCATCACCAGGCTAACCCATCCCCCCACTAGAACCATCATTTGTTTCTCAGAGTCCATAGTCTCTCATGGTTCGTCTCCCCCTCCGATTTTCTCCCCTTCATTTTCCTTTATTTATTTTTAAAGATTTTATTTATTTGTCAGAGAGAGAGAGTGTACGTGCGCGCGTGCACTAGCGGGGTGGGGGGGGTGCAGAGGGAGAAGCAGACGCCCCGCTGAGCAGGAAGCCCAATGCAGGACTCAATCCCAGGACCCAGGGATCATGACCTGAGCCGAAAGCAGATGCTAGACCAACCGAGCCACCCAGGTGCCCTGTTCTCTGAAAAATTTAATGTTATAGGGGCACATAAAGCCCATGTTTTATTGATTTAGGCAGGAATAAAAAACAAGGAATGAAAAAAGTGATCAGTTCTGTTTGATTTTTTTTTACAAAAAACACCTACCAAATGATATATAACCAAGGAAAGTTGGCTAATTAGGCCAAATTTAGGATGGTACATTTATAATGTGCATAAGAAAAACAACTTTTAAAATCCAAATATACCAAGTATTAATTATAATATAATTACAGGGAGTTGTGTCATTTTTTAAAAGAATGACACAATCTTGGCTCTAGATTAAACTTCCTTTTACCCTTAGGAAACTATCATTTCATGAATAGTCAAACTTATATATAACATTTTTGATATCTGTCCAAATGTTGACAGGTTTTTCAGTGTTTTTAAACATGAGCTACTAAAACATACACATACCAAATATTCACGGAGGGAGTACAATTAATTCTGAGCCACATATAATCAAAATTGCACTCCCTTGGTTAGAGAAATTATATACAGAAGCTGACAAAAATGCAAAAATATTAAACTTGATTTGGAGTGGATTCAATGGATTCAAAAATATTTGTGAGAACCTTTTGTGTCCAAAGTCCAAATGGTACACTCACACACATAAAACCCACTAACATGCCTCCTCAATGTAAATGATTCTGAATCCCATGCTCCACCCCCACCTTATATTTGCTAAGTCTAGAACCCAGGGAGATTTTTAATGAAAAGTTAGGGAATTGTTTTTAATCTCAAATGGATTATTCACTATTTGAATTATCCATGACCAATTCTCAATCCTAGCCACGTTGCATTAATGTTCAGAATATTTTTGAGCTGTCTTTATTGAATATTAGTTGACATTTACAAAGAAAAATAAAATCAACACTGTCATTAGTAAAACATAGGCCAAGCAACCACAGAAAAATCATATTT